TGAGGAGCAGGGGCTGTGCAGAGGTGCTCTGTCAGGAGGGTCCAGAGCACCCACAGCCCTTGCAGCTGGTGAGTGTGAGGCTTTTTTTTTTTTTTTTTGTAATATGCCAGGAGGCTGGAGCTGGGCAGGGGATGGAGCTGGGCAGAGCAGCTGTGGGGGCTTCTCCCACAGCTTCCCCCACCCACGGAGAGGCAGGCACAGCCAGAGGAACTGCTGCTTGCCCCGTTCTTCCCTGCATGGGTCCCAAGGCAGCCCTTCTTACATCTAATTCCACCCTTATCTTCAGGGTCGGGGCAGACTCACTCCCTCATGAGGGGTAACTTTGCCCACATCTCTATCTTCTTCCAGGTTCCTGGAGTGATTAACTTCACCCCCCAGGGCTAGACTCGTCAGACGAGCAGCTTCCTCAGCTCCTGTAGCGACTCTTCTCATTGGCGAAGATTCTTCCCTGGTTCTCTCCAGGTAAGTCGGAGGACTGGAGCTCTCCCTTAAGCTCTGGAATCAGTTCCCCTCTCTGGTGATCCCACCTGCCTTCTGCTTTTCTTCTTGCCTCCCTTTCTCTCCTTCTGAACCCAGGCTGCCCTCCCGGTCTCCCCAAAATCTCCTCTTTCTCCAGCTGTGTCCACTGTAGCAGCCCCCTATTCACTGCCTGCTTAACCCAGCTATTTTTTCTTTCTCTCTTTGGCACAGTTTCTTTCTTTTCCCTTTGGCCACACTAGTTTCTTCCCTCTGGGTTCAAGCCCTGGCAGCTGGGTTTGCCATGGCAGCCTTTGATCTGCCGTGGCACCAGCCAACTCCTTTAATTTTCCATGCCACGGCGTTCTCTCCATCTGGATTCGTCATGGTTCTTCTTGCGTCTTGGGATAAGTTTTCTTCTTTTTTCTCCTTCTCCCTGTCATTCCCATGGCAGGGTACTTCAGTTACCCTGTCACACACTGCTTTAGGATAAGATGCAAATATGCCCAACTCCAGTTTTTTTCAGAGGGGATTCAGACTAGCAAAGTGTAATTAACCAAACCAGAATTTAGCAAAGGTCCTAATGATAACGTCTTAGTCTGACCAAAAATACCATAGGATGTCATAGCTTCATAGTTTCATAGTTGTTAGGTGCTGGAAGGGATCTTACAGATTATCAGGTCCTGCCCCCCTGCACTTGGGTGGGAAAGACTGCTGGGATCAAATGACCCCATTTCCAGTGACCATGAGTGGCCAGGACTTTGGGGAAGGTGGAAAGGTCTGCCCAACTTCTGCACAGGTGCACTGGTTCTGTGCTGACTCACAAAAGCTTCTGGGAACATTGCTACAGAAGATAATGCTCAAAGACAGCCCTTCAGCCAAAATCAGCCTATAAAGAATGTAGAGCTCTTTGGATGAAAGAGGTAATGTAATTCTTCATCACTGAGGCGTTTAACTTACAGACTCCTGAAAGCATCTGTTAGTATGAGTGTATGCTTTTGCATGCAAGTGTCTATAGAACAAGATAACCACAGGCTGCTTCAAGCCATATGCATGGCTGGCAGGTTATTGCCAAAGGAATGAGGAGTTGTCAGTTCTATAGAAAGTGATGTTATGAAAGAATTTTGGTGTTATAACATCATCAATATGGGTTTCCTTGGATTTTGAGTGCTTCCAGGCAAATGTTTCTGGGAAGCCTCTTATTCCCTGTGTAGGAAGGGTAGATCTGCTATGATTAGACTGGAATTAATGGATCTGAAAATGAATCCAAGTGATTGAATTAGTTCTAGACAACTTTCTCACACCAGTCCCTGGATGTATAGTACGTGGGGGAGGAACCTAAGACTACCAAAAGTATTAATTGAAGTAGAAGGGGTAACACATTTCCTATCTTTAATTCCTGGTACTGTGTTAATACTGTATTATGTTCTTCATAAAATTGTTGTTTCCTAATATCCAACCTAGATTTCCCTTGTTGCAGTTTAAAACTATTACTTCTAGCCTTTTCTCCTATGGACACAGAAATTAGTCTATTGACATCCTTTTTATGATAACACTTAATATATTTAAGAACTGTTTTATAAATTCCTCCCTCAGTCATCTCTTCTCCAGGCTAAATAATCCCAGGTCTTCCAGTTTTTCCTTGAAAGTCATGATTTCTTTGTGGCTCTAATAATTGTTGTTGCTTTCCACTGGACTCTTTCTAATTTGTCTGTGCCTTCCTTGAAGTGAAGTACCCGAAACTGGACCCAGTACTCCAAGGGAGGCCTTACCAGTGCTGAATAACACACTCCTCTACAGCTGGACTTGAAACCATTCATAACCAGATGAACAAACTGAGTTTCTTCCCTTTTTCATTTTCTTCAGGTGTACACATCGCTTTGAACTGAAACTAAAGTAGAAGCATACTTGAGAGCCATGTTGTCCCTTGGTGTCAGCAAAGGTAAAATCTTTAGTTCTGCATAAGCCTCTTAACAGCCCTCTGCTTCCTTCAGACTTTCTCTTCATCATATTTTCTCAGTGACATGAATTTCAGTTTCCTCGATTGCCTGATTCATTGTTTAGTTTGTGAAATTCCATATGCCTTACTCCTTACCACTCAGATAAGCTTTATTCATTTTAAATATCATTAGCTAACTACAGAATTCTTTGAGTTTGATATTTCACTGAATTAGAATTCTAATGACCACGAAGACTGAGAAAGCTGGAAAATTGGCAACCTTTCCTGATTTTTATGGTGAACAAAATAATAGTAAGTTTGTGCATTATCCTTCTTCAAATCTTCCATTAAAACCTTTGGTTTCCTCAAAAAAAAATGTTATAATTAGGCCTGCAATATGTTAGGGCTGCTGCCTATAACATTAACCAGTATTGTCTCATTGCATCCTGTGCTCCCCCTGTATCTGAAAGGTCTTTGGGTCAAGATATACAGTAGCTCCTATTGTATATGTGTACAGCACGTAGCACAATGGTGTCCTAGTCTGTTATCAGAACTTCTGGGCACTACGCTAATTTACATCATAAATAAGTCTGACTCTACTTCTCTTGGATTGCCTCACTTAATCAGGGTGCAATAATCTTTTTGGGGCTATATTTCATTCAGCAATACTATCTGCCCAGATACCAAACTGTGAGGTATCATTTTTGAAATAATGCCGTGTCTCACCCCACAGTCAAAAATTTAATGGATCCTTTAAAATGTAAGTCAAATCTTAACAGATGTGAAATTTACTAGATCTGTAAGCAACTCAAAACAATAGTTCTAAGAAGTGTGAAATGCCACATTCATTTTACTAAAGTCAAACATCTCATTTTCAAAAATGTTATTTTCACTTTTATAAAAGTAACACCTTTATTTTCAAGTGTCAGTATTCAAGAGTAAAAGTATTATTTTCTGTTTGGCATGAAGGACTTATTTACACACAAAATAACTATGCCAGCACATCTTCCTATTGTGAGTACAGTTATACCATTATCAAGGTAAATATTCTGATAGTTATTTCTAAATGAAAAAAACTAAGTTATACCAAGGCAAAGTATGATTTGAGCTGTATAACTGCATCCATATTAGGGGCCCTTCTGATATGATTTTTTTAAAGTAAAAAACCAACACCCTTACCTGATGTAGTTGAGCAGCTATGCTGGACACGCATTTGCACCAGACTTTGGAAATTAAGCAGAGCTGGACCTAGCCAGTACTTAGATAGGAAATCACATTGGATTAGTTTTGGGTGCTGTAGATTTGAGGCAAGGTCATGGTTGAAGACTTAGGGCCAAATCCTATTTCATCTTTGTGCCTATAAAAGCTACTTATGTAGCTGTGTTACAGATGTTTGGGGTATTAGTGTAGATTTTAGAATCTGTTTTAACTTGTATAGGTGCACTTGCTCTGGGCTAACCTTCTATATTCAGAAGGCTCTGGGATGGCTAGGTAGGCTCTGTGGTGGAAGAGGATCACTCAGATATACACATTAACAGTGTGTAAGTCTCTGAAAGCATGATCAGAGAAAAAACCATGAGGAGCTTCTCGGGTGGCAGGGGTGGGAAGAGATGGGGATACTGCTACCTTCTGAGTCCAATAGTCAAGGGACTGTTAGGGCACTTGCTCAGGGGTTTAGCGACCCAGGTTCTAGGTCTGTGAACCTAGGGGGGTTTGAATCTGCATCTTCCACTTCCTGGCAAAATGTTTTAACTGTCAGGTGTTTTCTAGAACATCCTTTGATCCTTCTGCTGAAACTGGCTCCTTGTGCAGCCAACAGAGAAGTAGATATGTGGCCTGGAGAAAAGCAAGTCAAAAGGAGGGCGACCCACTGATATGGGCACTGCACTGGAATGAGGGTCCTGGTCCCTATCCCCAGGGGGACTGGAACTGTCTCACTATTGCTTATCCTCTTCTCCAATAAATATTAAATGCAATGTGTAGGAAGGCCATTGGAAGGGGTAAAAAACAAGGGTTTCTTCCCTTCAAGGGCAGCAGTCATCTCACTGAACCACAATCCTTTTAGCTTGCTCTCCTCCTAGCCTTGCATAACTTCCCTGCTTGGCTGCCCGGTGGTGAAGTTCAAGAGGAGGCCACTCTGGATAATGCGTCGCCTATGGCCTGGTGTTAGAGCACTTGGCTGGGAAATGGGGGATGAAGGTTCAGACCCTTTCTGAGTGAGGAGGAAACCTAGAACATGGGACTCCCACTCCCTAGGCAAGTGCTCTAACCATTAAGTTACTGGGCAAAAAAGGTGGGAGGATCCCCACTTCTTCTATTCTATTTTGGGCAGTGTAATAAAGATGAAATGGGATCGGCTCTTAGTGCATATAAGGACATAGAAATTAAATGAATAGCAAGTCTTCATTTGGCCCCATTATCAATATGGAAGTGAGGGATGGGAATAAAAGAAGTAAAGATTCAATATAGATATACTACTATAAAAACTGACAGTGGCATTCTGTTCCTTTCTGGATGTTTAGACAACCTGATTTTGTTCTCTATGGCCATGTCTGCACATGGTATGGACATTTGGTTCCCCAGGGACAACTAGCAGCGGCACATTTTGCACTGTCACTAGTTGTTCCCAGGGCACACCCATGCCACACATACTGTGGTGTGCAGCAGGTTACCCTGGAGGTGGTAGAGGAGGCTTGGGCCAGCACTGGGCTGGCCCCAGCAGCCTTACCTTGGGTCCTCTTGGGGCTGCAGCAGTGGTGATTCTGCCTCATGGAGCCTGGCCGGCAGCCGCAGCGCAGCTCCGGGCAATCCAGTTCCACTTTTGAGTGTCGTGTACTGACCGTGCATGCACTGTTCTGCTTCTTTTCTCTGCAGGGTTTTTTTGACCTCTCGATACCCAGGGGTCCAAAAAACCCTCTTCAGTGCTCCCTTGCAGCATGGAGAACAACTGAATGTGCAGTATGTGGCGCTGCAGATGTGTCTGCAGACATGCCTGCAGTGCCACATGCCACACAGCTGCACTCGTCTGGACATGGCCATTGAAGTCCACAAAATGCTACTTATGCAAAAATGACATTTTGTTCCTCAGTATGTACACACATAGGTGGCTGTGTATGTTACCAGACTAGACTGGGCATGCACTCTGAGAAAGTGAGCTCCTATCTTTTCCCTTCAAATAGCTAGGGTGGCTAAGGCACTTCAAATTTTCTCATGGGGAAGCTCTATGGGTGCATCCAGACGAGATGAGCATGCATGTGTGGTATGCAGTGCTGCAAACCACACACACCATACACGTAGACATTTACCTGCACTGCTAATTCACAGTGTGGCAGGGTTTTTTGACACCAGGAGATCCCAGTGTCAAAACTGCATCTGAAAAAAGTGGGGCAGTGCATGTAGTAGCAGCATGCACTGCCTGAAACCAGAACCGGCCCTGCCAGAGCCACACTCCAGCTGCTGGCTAGGCTCTGTGCACTGGTTCACCACTGGTAGAGCCTTGGGAAGCCCCCAGGACCCCAGGTAAGGCTGCTGGGACCAGCCCAGATGCTGGCCTCAATCTACCCTACCCTACCTGCGGCAGCTTGTCATATGCCAGAGTGTATGTGCATGAGCGTTCCCGGGGGAGAAGTAGCAGCAGCACAACTATGTGCTGCTACTGTTTATCCCTGGGGAAATGCATGTGCACAGTCATTTAGATGCATCCTATATCCCTAGTGAGAAAATTCTGAATGGAGGCTTTTCCCAAAAATATTCTTATTTTACATCCAGCTGCATTTGGCACCTTGTGGGCAGCACTCAGTCCAAGATCCTCAAAGGGATTTAGATGTCTAACTTCATTAGGTCTTAGACACCTAAATATCTTTTGAGGGTTTTGGCTTCAGTAACCTTCATAATGTCCATGTTAGATGTTTGCTCCCCTCTTGCTGAGCCCAGATCCTCTCCCAGCTCCTCCACATCCTCCCATCTTTTCCTAGTTGCTTCCTGGGTTTTTTTGGTCCTCTCAGTCCCCAGCTGCTTTTCCCATCAACCTGTCCTTCTTTCTTTCTCGTCTAATCTTTGTTCTGCTGAGAGAATTCAGTATCTCCTAACCACCACGCCTTCACATTTGCTATCCCCCTACTTCAATAAAAATATTAATTAATATATTGAAGTGGAAGATGTAATTAAAGTCATAGTAGGGATGGGAGTGAGGAAGATGGTAAGTAGACTTTTTTGACAGGTCACATTGAAGACAAAGGTCTATAGTGATAGGACACCCATAGCAATTGTTTTTGGAGGCTCCATTCAGACTCAGAGCCCCACTGTGCTAGGTGCTGTACATATATTTAGATAGATATGTTTGATCATATTTGTAGTTGAAGTAACAATAAGTAATCAAAAACTCACAATAAGCAGTTGAAAGGTTTCTCCTTTCCCTCTAATTCAGACCTGACACTAGACAAAGTTGACAGCTAGGATGCATAAGTTTTATTTGCCCTTGATAAAGCATATCCTAAACTTGGCTCACCCTCAATCTACAGAAATGTCAAGCTACTTCTGAAAATCAGAAACACAATTTCCCCCAATCTCACATTTGCCATAGCTAGAACTACTCATAATAGATACCAGTGATGCAAAGGGAAACACTACCTTTTAAATGTTTGA